TAAATATTAAAAATTAAAAGAATAAAATAAAAGAGAGTCAAAAAGGAAGCCAAAATGAGAGGCTAATTCAGCCGAGCCACATGTGGGACAGCTAATCCTCCTTTGACTCCATCTAAGCGTCTCCACCATGTGCCCCTTCTCACTTTTTGTATATATCCCCCACTAAATAACCTCCCCTTTTCCTAACCCTTCTTCTTCTTCTTCTTCAATTCTTCAATCTTCATCTGCATCCATGTCATTCAACTCCACAAATACCTCTGCCACCACGACACAACGCCAGCCCAGCCGTCTCCAACGGCGTGCTCCTGCATCTCTGAAAATCAGCCCTGCCGCCGCATGGAACGTCGCGATTCCCCTTCTATCGCCTCTCGCCTCCTCCCCGTCGTCGGAGGACCGGATTTGTCGGAAGACGGAAGCGAAGCCTAGGGAGGAGTCGAGGCAGGAGCAGCAGCATGAGAAGCCGGTATTCAAGAAGTGGCAGCACCCGGCGGCGCCGTTCTGCTACGAGCCGGTGCCGCTGATTCGGCCGTTCGTGCCGGTGTAGTCAAAGTCTCTGAAATGTTGACTCTAATTTTGTAGATCCAAACGTTGCGCTTTGCATCAAGTTGCGCACGTGATGTCACTAATTTTGTACACATTATAAATCACTAATTTTCTTTTTTATGTTCATCTTACCTTTTTTTTTTTTTTTCGTTTTATAATAATATAAAATGCAATCCCACAAAAGAAAAATCCCAATTTGTTTAGGGAGAAACTTTTAATTTCCAATCGCACAAAAAAGCAGCCAATTTCTTGCGTAATTTAATTGTTTTTTCTTTCAAATGTTGGGTAAATGATTTAAGATCTCCCCAATTTGCGTAATTTAATTTACAATAAGATTTAGGGTTTTACGTTTTTAACATCTATCTGAAATCATTCAATTCGATCTCCCGAATTCCCTTTGGACTCTCCGCTTCTCATTGTCTCAAGCCATGCGTCTATTCATTCCCTGCACATCCGCCATCGGTTCGTGGTTTCCGTTGTCTACTCTACAATCGCCATGCTTGTCTACCTCTCCTGAGTCCCGAAGCAATGGTGTCTAGATTCTGCTCCCCACTTGTAGGGTTATTCTTTGCTTCTGGATAATTCTTACAACCAAAACTATAAATATGTGTGTGTGTGTAGATTGATTCCCTGCACGAAAACAAATATAGGTTTGCTTTATTTCACGGAATCTAAAGAAAGTGATTGTGTTTTTTCTTTTTTCTCTCAGGAATTTTTTGTTTAAGCACTAAGCTTCCTTAATCTGTTTCAGGAGGAGAGTGAAGAAGACAACAAGTGTTTAGGTTTATGTGAATTGACTGCTTGGTTTTTCCATTTGAAACTAACTCCAACAAATTTCTTCAGTCGGTTCAGTTTCAGTTTAGTCAGTTGGTATAGTGAGTTAGATTTTCTTTTTAATTTCATAAATTTTAAAATAATTTAAAGTTTAATCTCATTCATTACAATTTAGTTACCATAAATAATTTCGAGCAGTGTTATTTATATTTCAAAATGAATTTTTTACCTCACAATTAATATATATTAAAAAAATAATTATTTATGAGGAAGCTCCAGCTGGAGTTGAGTTGTGTTGGCCCAACTTAGGACTCTCTTAACACATACCAACAGAAGTGATTAAATTGTAATTAATTATCGAAAGTGATTAATTGTAGTGTTGGCTGAATTCTTTTAGTATAAATTTTTTAAATGCTTCAAGTGATTAATTTCGTTCTAATCGTTTTTTTTTTTTTTTTTAAATAATAATAAAAATAAAGTATATAATATATATATATATATATATATTATATTTTTTGAGAGTATAGAGGTTAATAAACTTGAAGCTTTCTTGTGGAAGCAAAAGGGGTGAGATCTCATTATCAGATTAGTTGGTGAACAACTCACAAGAAATAGGCGACGCACAATATCTATCAACCCACCAATTAATTTCATCCCATCTCACCAGTCGTACCACCTATCACAATTTACAAACAAGTAATCACAATAATTGTTATTCTTGATTAATTTTTTGTCGGCATATATATATATATATATGAAAATGAAAATGAATATATGCCTATAAACTATTTATGAAAGCAAAAGGTACTAATAAAAAACTGTAATTCCACAACTTGGTCCTTCCCTCCATCAATTATTTTATCTTGTACCGCCCTTCTCTTTTCTTTTATAGCAGAATATTCCAGGCCAAACAGTTTCTTGAAGACCATATATACATAAAAAAGAGAGAGACTAGTCAAACATATCATAATATTTTATACATACGGGTTTTGAAATTTGACCATATACATTTTGTAGTGTTATATAATTATACGGGAAAAGAGATATTCCATGAGGATTTTGCTAATCAATCTGAGCATGAGCCTGAGCCTGCAGATGACTCATCCCAGTCTCGTTTTAGAACAATTTGCAATAATTGAAAGAAAGCAACAGCCCACAGGTTGTGATTAACTTTTTACTTGGTTTCACTTTCCTCTCTTGTATCGCCAAATACTTTCTTAACACTTCTGTGCAAAAATTATAAGTTGCCTCCAAGGCTATAAGTGAAAGAAAAGAAAAAAATAATTAAGGGTCCAGATTTTTTCTACTTAAGTCTAAATCTAGACTTAAGGAGACATCATACCAGCACTTTCCTTTTCCCGTTGGGAATGGTTTTTATATACATATATAATATCTAACCTATATAGCTTTTTTCATCATGTTAGAAGAGCTCATTTACCTGAGGCTTGAAAATTCAAAAACCCATTAAAGAAAAAATTTTATGAAGCAATTACATATGACTTTATTTTCTAAAAATGCAAAATATGATCCTTCAAGTTTAACAAACCATCAAAAAGTTGTCAAATTTGCCGTGCATATAATGATTACACACACACACACACACATATATATATATATATATATATGTGACAATTTCACTTCTCTACGACAAGTAACTCATGAGAAGTTGTTCTGAAAGAACAATAAAACAAAAACCTATCATGCAACTTAAAATTTATCTTGGTTTCATGGGTGTTCATGGGTAACCCAACGACCAACGCGTTATATTTTGACAAGGTAAGTAAAGTTATATACTAAATTTTAAAAATAATTATAAAAAAAATAGATTGAAGTTCCAATACAATCAATTTGTACATTTTAAAGCCTTTTTTTTTTTTTAATTGTACAAGTTATCATTCATATGGGACTAGTAATATGTGGGACATTTTAGTTAAGTTAATATTATATATATATATGTATATATAGGTGGTCGCGGTCAAGATTGAAGCATAATAGACCAAATTGAGGATAGATTAAGGTAGGGGCTTGGATTAAAGGTAAAAAAAAAAAATGTTAATTACAGTCAAAACTGAACCAAGCTAAAAAAAAATACTAAACCAAGTTGAAATTTTGTAGTTTGATAAAAATTAATACAAATTAAACTAACAATACAAATCATCTTTTATTTTATGTATTTTTGGTCCAAACCTGTTCATCTAAGTTTGAATAAAAAACAAACTTTTTTTTTTTAATCATTTTAGTATGAAACAAAAATAGATCGGTCTTTTCAATTTCTTAATGTTTGGACTAAAGATTGTACGAAACACTATATTTGATCTAATTTCATTTAGATTCTTCAATATGTTCTCGAATAATTTCTTTTTTCAAAACTGAAATTTAATCACTTTTATTTTTATTATTTATTTATTATTTAATTATATTTAATACATATTATTATTTTTTTGTATAAAAACAATAAATGACTATTTTTTATGGCCGAATAAATCATAATTTAATTTGACTACTTGTTTAACTTTTATATCTTATAACTAGTTTGAATACATGTCACGCAACTTAATTTTTTAAAAGAAAATAATTTCATAAGCTCTTTTTAGAATAAGTCACCAAATTTTAATGGGTTTGTCCATAGAAAGTGCAAATATATATATATATATATATATATATATATATTGTTTAGTATTTTTAGTATTTAAAAAAAACTCCACCATTTCCTAACAAAACATCAATGAAAATAAGGTTTTTCTTGCTAATTTAAGAAAATAATTTTGTGAGCTCTCCTGAAAACAAGTGACCAAATGTAATAGATACATACATATATATGTATATGTATATGTATATGTATATGTATATGTATCTATGTATTTTCCATACATCAAATATCAATAATTTTCATTCTACGGACTTAATGGGCTAAATTAGGCGTGATTGGTTGAAAACATTTTCTAGAATACTCGGCTGGGTCCAAATCACAGTGGGCCGTTATCTTTTTTCTTATTTAAAAAAAAAAACAGAAAATTAAGACCGGCCGACTTGTTTGAGAACTTCCTCAGATAAAAGATTCAAGTAAAAATTAAACAAGACGAAACAGATCCTGAGAGAACAGGGGTGTTCGTATTGAAAGAAATCCTGAAGAGAGAAAAGGAGATAGATCTGCGTTTGGCACTCGGATGGATCTGAAGATGATAGGGAGGCGAGCCGGAACAAGTCGACTCAACAGGCGAAGGAACGATTCCAAGCTGGGCCGCCTGGTGGCCTTCTTGCAAATGGCAGAGTTCGAGATCGTCTTCTTCTGTGTTGTCGTCGTCGCTTTCTTCACCTTCAAGCAACTCACGGCGAGGCCGGAGTACAATCAAATTCTGGTGAAGAAGCCCGGTGGGCCTGATTTTTGGCCTCACTAGAGGTATCAGAATACTTTATTGTTTTTCCTTTGTTTCTTAATTTCCGTTTGCTATCTTTGTTTCGATATATTGAATTGTCAGAATTTAGACAAATAGGACGATTGATGTTCACGCTGAAGATATGTGTAAATCCAACAACGATTAACTGATATTCGTCTAATTTGATCGAATAAATCCTAGAAATCCGTGTAGAGAACAGATTGATCTTCATTATCATGTCTGGCTTCAACTTCAAGGTTAGGGTTGTGGTTATAGAACTTGAGAATCATGAGGCGAAGTCTATTAGCATAAGCTTTACTTCAATGTTATTAGGAAAATGAAATAACACTTGTTAGCTGGTGAAATTATACTCTTCAGTAGGGATCAAAATTTGACTGGACTTAGAAGCAAGTTGAAAACGATAAGATTACAACTGACAACTACTTTCCATGGCCACCATAATTTTCATTTTTTCATTTTTTGCTCTTTCTTTTCATATTGAAAAAGTATTAAGAATGAGATTTACTGAGGAACGACTCCATCCTCCTCCTGCTTGCTTTGATGAAGTCTGCAGTTTGTACCAATTAGATATTTTCTTAATCCAATTGGATGCTGAAAAACAGTCCGTCCAACCTTTTGACCGGAAGAAAATTCTGGACAGATGTAACGTCTGTCTTGAACAGTTAGTAGTACGCTCATGGCCTGAAGTTCCTGAACTCGGTTGAATTGCCAGAAGATATAGTCAGGGAATTTTAAGTATTTCTTCTTGAATTTGAAATCACTATGCAAGTATTTCTTTTTAACTTTAGAATCACATACTGTTTTTATTCATGCAATTCGGTGAAAGAAAAGTATTCTAATGTCAAGTAATTACTGTTTTCCGTTCATGGTGGAGTAAGAGATGCTTCAAATAGAGAAAAACTCAATACAGACTTAACCAACCAAATTCACATCAACATGGCAATAAATGCTATCCAAATAGAGAACTTTACTGGTGATAAAGTTAGCAGACTCGGAACTGTTAACAAATGAAATAACAGAAGAAAGCAGTCTAACATAGAAAAAACTCAAAAACCTTACTTTTAGAGAGTGAAAAAGATACTAATTACCTGCTGAGGATAATATAGCAGTCTTGAAAACATTGGACAATAAGAAAGGATTACTCCATGAAATTACTTGAGAGGTAACATAGAAGAAAAATGGCACTGATAAAACCAAAATATTATATGCAAGTAATTGATGTTTAGATATAATCTGTAACTGAGTATCTAGTTCTTTATCAAGGTAGATATTAGTTTTAGTGGGGAGGTTCCCAAAAAATAATGCCGATTTTGAGCATAAACTTGATGTGCATGAACTCGAGAACTGAATATTAGTAGCTATAATTTCTTGAATTGTTTAGGGACCTTGAAGAAACCTAGCTAGTTTTGAAGGAGGCTGCAGTTCAGAAGTTTGTCCTCCATTGGCATCCGTTATGATGGTAGCTGCAAGATAATTTATGCAGGAATGATGTGTTTTTGAAAATTTGCAATCAAATATGCTTTATCAAGTTATGTATAAAAACTTTTTGGATTGAACCAAGGTCTCCGTGGTAGTTGCTGCAAACAATTCAAGATGGGAATGTACATAATTTTGTGACTAACTATATTAAAAGCAACCATTTTGAAAATAATAAAAAAAATCCATATTTGGAAACCAAGTAGTAATATCCATTCTACTTTCTTCTACTGTAGACTACCTAATTTCATCATCCCATTCAAGGACCCAATTGGCGCATTCTTATGTTATGAACTACTTTTTTTTTTTTGGAAGAATGTGACATGAAATACTCGATAGTACTTCAGCGGAGCCTACACCCATGAATTGTATAATATTGAAGTTGAATATAAACTAATTAAGTTGGATCGCACAAATTGAACTCAAATAGTTGAAAATATAAAAAATCAAATTTTAGGAATTCATATGAAGTAATATAAAAACTGGAATTAGTTACCCATTAGTGGAACAAAAATGTCAATTATAGTATTTCGGTGAAATTTCTTCTAAATACTTGACTGTAAAAGTATATATTACAATAAAATTCGATTCAAATCTCAATTTAAAAAACAAATAATATATAATTTATGAATCTTGGTTTTCCAGGTCGTAGCCAAGATCCATAATCGCGTCGGCCAAAAACTTTTTTTCAAAAGGAAAAAAAGAAAATCAAAATGGGCTGCATGATTGAAGGGAACCTTGCGGTATACGCTGAAAGCAGTGAATTATAATAAAGAAAGTCACGTGGAAAAAGCCAATAGATGGAGTGGGTGAAGAAGAATGGAAGAAAGCCGTTGAGTTGAATTTTATCAGGTTTATATTTAATTTATTGGGCGTTAAATCCGACAAGAAAGCGACAGCTTATTATTATTATTATTATTATTATTACTACATGGCTAAAACAAAGCACCCTTCTTTTCCGTTTGTTGAAGTATATAATTACTATAATTACATAAAATATATTTCTTTGTTTAATTACTTTAAAAATACACAAATAGAGAAAAATTGTATATATGCATAACCATTTTAATTAATGATGATATGCACATCCGAGGAACCTTTAGCATTTTTACAAGACTATTGTGAGAAAAATTACACGTCTATAGAGTATGAATAATACTTATCTTGCTTTTTATTTAATGTTCTCCAAAAATCCATGAAGCAGATAATTCATAACATTAGAAAATAGCCTAGTTTTGTGGACTAGCAAAACTAAGGCACCGAATTGCAATATAATAGAAAAGCTCAAAAAATATTGGCCTCTTTTTTTACATAATTTTACTTAGATTCAATATCTTAATTTTATCCTTGTAGATGAAGTTATTCATTTACAAGG